GGGGCCCCGCTGCTGCCGGGCTGCACAGCGAGCCCCCTGCCCACCTCCTGCTCGTCCTTCTCTGGTGGTGTGCCCACGCAGACTGCAAAGCCTGCAAGATGAGAAACAGCCAAATTCCCTTTCTGCCGCGGGGTACGCCTCTGCCAGGCACCCCGCGACGCTGCCCGGCCAAGGCAGCCCGAGCCGTGGTGCAAAGGGAGAGAGCCCCGGGATGCAGGGCTACGCTGTCGGGAACGCAGCGGGCAAAGCCCGTTCCTTCTGCAGGGGGGTCTCACCCTGCCGCCCCTCTCGTGCCTCTGGGCAGCCAGCGAGGAGGAGGGTGGTCCTGGGAGGAAGGGCTGGGGTCTCCCCGCGTTCGCTATCCACAATAACCAGCCCAAGGCTTTTCCTCCCCGTGCCATGAAAGCCTCCAGCAAACGCCCTGGCAAAACTCCCACCCTTTACTGCAGACACGAGCTCCCGAGCAACAGAAACGTGAGGGTCCTCGCTGCCTAAAAGCAAAGCAGAAAAGGAAAAGCATCGCAGGGCCGGTTGCGCAGGGTGAGCAAGGGAAAGTTCCCGGGAGCAGCAGGCAGGGTGGGATTGCGGGCACCCCGGCCGTGCCCCCGCTCCTCGCCGCAGGAGCCGGCAGAGGTTTGTTTGCTGATGAGTCAGGTGGAAGCCCTCGCGATTGCAGGTCTGTAATACAGCAAAAGGGAGAGACGCTGCTTCATCCGAGGGTGCCTCTGAAAACTAGAAGTTTCGACCAGCCTAAATCAGGTGGAAAACCAAGAGACGGCTGCCTGGAGCACTTAGGGAGGTTTAAAAACCTGCATTTCACTTCTCCACCTGACATAACAGGAGCAGAGAAAAGCAAGAAAGGCAAAGCAAGCCTGCCTAGCTCCAGCTCTCCTGTCAGCTTCGCCCTACGGGAGAGCTGATGTGCAGGGGCTGCAGGAGACCTCAGGTTTCCCACAGAGCAATGTATAGCTGGAAGAGGGAAAAAAGTGCACGGTGTGAGCGAGCCGTGCCCTCCGCTGCAAAGCCCTTGGCCGCGGCAGGGCTGTCGGGGGAGCCGGGAGGGGGTCGCAGCTCCTCATCCGTCTTTGGCATCCCCAGACTCAGCGTTTCTGTTGAGCTCGCGTCAGTCTGTCCAAGGAGCTGTCATCCCTGGGTGCACTTTTTTCCCTTTCTCCCACCTCCCAAAGTTGTGCAGAGTTTTTCTTTCCAGCCTTCCCGGCCGGCTCTCCGTGCAGGCGCAGAGGGACCATCGGACACCTCCACCGGGGGACAGCACAGCCTCGCGCAGCTGCAGGCGGGGGGGACCAAGGAAGGCGAAAGGTTTTACTCTGTCTGCAACCTTAGTGATGACAGAAGCAGCCAGCGCCAAGTATAAAAAATGGCAAATCAGTGACACCACGTCCTTTAAGAAAAGCCTTTGCTCATCAATCAGCGGCTTTCTGCAGGAACCCTGCTCCAGTCAGAGATAAAATAGCAGCACAGTCCCAGGGTGGATGGAAATGGGAGAAGAGGAGAGGGAAAAGAGGGCAAAAAAGTAGAAAGCAAAGAAGTCGGTGAGGACAAAACAATACAGCAAAAGAGAAAAGTCGGGCACTAACGCTGCACAGTTTTCTCCTGCGTCTGGCACGGGGCTGAGCTCCCACGCAGCCCCCGGCACAGCCCAGCACCCGGGGTGGGCAATCGAACACCAGAGACCACGGAGCAGCCCCGGGAGGGCTGAGCTCACGCACCCGGGGACAGTGGAAACCTCCCCAGCCCCCATCATTCACGCAGCCCGACCGCTCAGTTGCGGTGGCCCTGAATTTGCCGAGGGCCAAGCCAGCCCTCGCCTGCACCAGGGATGCTCAGGCAGAGCCACCGCTGCCTGTCGGGTGCTTTTTCCCTGATCAGGACTTTTTCCCGTCTCCCTCCCAGCCCCCTAAGACCCAGCTGGGAGCAGAGTTTCTGGCTGTCGCTCTCAGCCCGCCAGGCTGCTGCCGGTGTCCCTGCGGCCACTGAGCTAAGCGGGCCATGCAAACGCAGGGCTAAGGGAGGGGAGAGGACGTACCTTCCTGCGGAGCATTCGTGTCCCACACGGACCACATCTGCACAAAGAAAAAGGGAGTCCAGCACACTATGAAAGCTAGCACTATGATGAAGGTCATTTTGACTGTCCGGATCTTGGCTTTGGAGATCAGCCTGGTGCTGCTGACCCTGGCAAACGCCGTCCCGTTGCGGGAGCTAGAGCTCAGACCCACGTTGGGCCCGTGAGCCGTCTTAAGCTTCACGTTCTGCCAGATTTTGAAGCTGATTAAGCCATAGCAGATGCTCAGCATCAACACGGGGATGATGTAGACCATGAGGGTTATCCAGGTGACATAGGCTTTAGGTCCCCAGGGCTGGATGAAATCTGCCCAACAGTCGTAAACCCCATTGCCCACATCCCTCAGAGAAAATATGTGGATCTGGGGGATGCTGACCAGCAGGCACAGCAGCCAGGTGAAGAGGACAGAGACCCGGTCCGCTCTCCTGTGCAGAGACCTCAGCGGCTGACAGATGGCCAAGCACCGGTCCAGGGACATCAGCAAGAGCATGTAGGTGGAAGCAAACATCCCCACCACCTGCAAGTACTTGATCAACCGGCAAAGGAAATCTGGCCCGTAAAACCTGAAGGTGATGTCCCAGATGAGCTGGGGCAGCACCTGGAAGATGGCCACGACCAGGTCAGCGATGCTCAAGTGCTTCATGAAGAAGTACATGCGGGAGTGCTTCTGCCGGGTGGTGTGGATGGCCAGCAGCACGCACAGGTTGCCGGTCAGGGCGAGGAACAGGATGAGGCAGAGGACCGTCACCTCCACCTTGGCCATGTCCTCGTTCCTCTTCAGGGGGTCCGCGGTGCTGTTCCTGCCGGAGGTCTGGCTCCCCAGGCGGAGGCTGCCGTTCCCCAGAGAGCTGTTGATGGTCCACACGCCGCTCCCCGCCAAGCACAACTTCTCCATGGCCAGCTCCGTCCCACATCAGCCCGGCAGCAGAGCCGGGCC